TTTGTGATATCCGCAATATTTGAAAATACCCAAAATTAGGAATCATTCCTAATTTGGCAACGTATCTGAACGACTATCCGACCTTATCCCTAAGGTACGATACGCGGCGATACGGAAAATCGTTATCTTGTCCATAATCACTTGGATACGATAATAGATTTAATTTGCTTTCCAAATTTAAACAATCAACTTTCCGTCGATATCTATAACCCTATAGATATGATCGTTAGTTTGATTTCTTTGCCTTATATGAATTTGAAGAATCTTGCGGATTGCGTGAATTGTTTGAATGTGATTGATATCTTTGTTTGATTGTTTTCCTTTTAAATAAAGAAAATCTAAAAATTTGCTAGTTAGATTTAAATTAGAAATTTTGCATGCTTAGGGAATCTTAAATATATCCAAAAGAATAAGATAATTATTTGATTTAAATTGGGATTTAGGGTAGTATATTTCCTAGTTTAAATTAGAAATTATTTTACTCTTAGTGGATTATTTAGGATATTTAATAATTTCGAATTTTAATAAAAATCCCAAAAAAAAGAATCACTTTAGGATAGATCAAATCATTTTCTCTAGGATAGATTGCATGTTAATTTGAGTAATTTTTAATTCCGAATTTCATTTGAAAATACCAAAAATAAATCATTTGTCCGTCATTAGAATTAGGTCACGTCGTCGCATGACATATAGTTTGCATGTTAGGCTGCATTAATCGCATGTTAATTTTTGCACGTCATTACATATAGGTTAGTTTTCATTTAAATAAGTGAAAATCCTAAAAATATTGAGTGAACTGCTTGTTAATTAGAAATCATATTAGAATTGTTGATGTGATTTTCTAGCTAACAATGCAGATGCTTACGTTGCTTCGAGGTAAGTAATTCTCCCAATCTTGCAATTTATTTAATGTTTTGATTATTGGGTGTTACTTTGGTGGTTTGCGCACCCGCATGATCACCTCACATGCTAGTGACTAAGTTAAAATGGATCCAGACTGCCTGCACAAATGTTTTTGAAAAGAAAAGGTACCGAAAGGGCGTTAGACTAGATCTAGCGTAATCAAGTCCCCGAGCTTAGAATCTCTGGTTCGTAGGAATAAAACATATCTCCCTATGTTTTATTTAGGTTTCTAATCGACCTACCACAAATAGATTAGTGGCGACTCCAAGCATGAAAACTTTCGCATGTTAAAAACTTAAACCCTAAGTTGCGAATTGGTAGGGCTTGGGAGGGCCCGAGTTAGGCTTAGTCTTAACAATCCATTAGCCTGAGAGAAATTTTAGGTCGCGACAACCAGTTTAGGGTTTTTCATGATATTAACCCTAAAAGAAAAGGTTGATATCGCAAAAAATCCAAAATTGGTACATTTGTAATAAATTTACTCTAAATTAATTTTTTGATTATCAAAAACCCCAAATCGATACACCTGTAGCAAATTTACCCAAAACTAATTTTTTGACCACCAAAAACCTCAAACCGGTACACTTGTAACAAATTTACCTTCCGTTAAATTGAATTAATATCATAAAAAACCACAAACTAGTAAATCTGTGACAATCAGAGGGGTAAAATCCTAAACTGATACATCCGTCAATTGCCACGTGTTATCCAACCTGGCAATTCGACGGTAAAATTTGACAGACACTGACGAAGGTTAAATTTGCCCCAAGTGTACCGGTTTGGGGTTTTTAGTGGTAAAAAAATTAGTTTGGAGTAAATTTATCATAGGTGTATCAATTTGGGGTTTTTTGTGGTATTAACCCTAAAAAAAAGAGTTAATAACACAAAAAAACCCCCGAATTCATATACCTATAACAACTATATCCTTAAATAATTGTTAGATTGCCAAAAATCCCACAAATTCATCAAAAATTCTAAATCGGTATATCTATGATAAATTTATCTTAAATTGATATAAATTTGACTTGTCATGTTAATTGAGTTATTGACATGTGTCATTCATATCGGGTTGGGGGAGGAGCACCTAATGCAAGCTCGCGAGGCTCAATCGACCCTGATGAAGAGGCTGATTTGGTTGCCATTTGTGGTGACAATGAGTGAGAACTCCTTGCCACCTGTGCCGCGAGCCTTGGTCATGAGAGGTTTGCTCACTCCCAAAGCTCTAATTTCTTAGAGAGAGAAAGCTCGAGAATTGGGTTTTAGAGATGAACTGTTGAGGAAGAGAGAGTTTGAGGAAGAGAGAAGATCATCTTGGACAAAAATTTCCATGTTGAACTTTCATTTATATCTACAAATTTCACTTCATAATGAAAAATTAAGTAAAAAATCCACGTATGATGATTTACCGGAAATGACAATCAAATGAATGATTTTACACTGATGTACCACTTAAGTGAATAAAAAAAAAGTTATGGCATTTAAGTGAGCGTCATACGAATGTTGTGCCACTTCTACTATTATTTTCTCCAATACTACGATGGTTGCAGCTTCCTTAGTATGAAAACTAATGTGATCTTAATTGATTGATAGTTAATTCAAGTTAGATCATGCATGTTAGGTGATTCTAGTTCAACAATCCTTAAGGATAATGACTAATTTTAGTTAATTGAACTAGAATAGAGTCTATTCCTTGCTATCCTCATGTTAGCTGAAGCTCCTAGGATTGAATTCAATAAAAATTTGGATGCTAGTTAGTCGTAGATTGTTGAATGTTGCATGAATGGTGATTAGGAGTAAGCTAAGTTGATTTTCATTGTTGATCTTAGGATTTGTTGAATTCACTTCGATTGAATTGAAACTTAGAAGATCAAAATCAGAAGTAAAACAGAGAACTTGCCCTTTTGGTCAACTAATTGATTTTGTGGTTTATGAGGCTAATTAGCCTAAACGCATGATTAATTGATCTTGGTTTGTGGTTGAATTGATGATTGATTGCTCTTAAGATTGATTAGTGATGCTTGATCTTTCGGCTGGTAGCTTATGAATGGAGATTAAACTTTAACTAGGTGCTTAGTGACTTCGCCCACTGCTTGAGGAAATTGCAAGTGGGGGTTAATAATCATTCAGCATTAATTAATTAATCCCTAATTGATTATGAGGTGGATGGGTAATCAAATCGTACGATTGACATTAAATTCTCAAATTAAACTCGTTTTTAATGATTGATTGAGTGAACTTACTAATGTATGAATTGAGTAAATGCATGAATGAATGGCGTGATTGACACTAAAGACCGGTGGCCGAGAAGCTCGAAGTCGCAGTCTCTGGTGGCTGTCCAGGCTGGTGGTTATATTTAGTTTTATCACCTTAGCTAAGTATCAATTAGGTTAGCTTAGTTAATAAATATAGGAATTAATAATCAAAATAGCTTAGATTTTAGAAAATTAAAAATCAAATTAGACTTAAAATCACTCTATTAATAAATCAGTAGCTTAGTTTAGAATAGTACCATCATTCCTAATAATTTGAGTAGAATTTAGGCTAGCTTAATTCGGGGATTAGGCTTAGTCTCTAGCATCAAACTTATGGGGGTTCATGCCTCGAGGCTATAATAATTAATAAGGTGATGTAATATTCTTTGCTCGACTTTGCATCGGGTCAAGCTCATGGAGGATCATGTCCCGGGAATTAGAACAAAGCCATGTATATTCTTTACCCAACAAATATCAGGTTTTATTTCTCGCACATTTACTTCTAGCCTTTCAATATTTTGGTGTTTAATTCCCGCACTTTCAATATATTGATTGTTATTTTCCTTTTTAGCATTGTTATGATAATCCTTAGGATTATAATAAACTCTTAAAAAAAATTCCATGAACACTTGGGACATCAAAATGACCTTTTTTGAGGCTCATGATTGGTAACAAAGACCGTTTGATCACTTGGATGAACAATTCCGTCAAGTTAGAGGTACCGAAAAGGTATTAATAGAAACTATTAGTGTAATCAAGTTCCCAAACCTAGAAATCTCTTGTTGCGTAGAAAGTGAGGCAATCTCCCGTGCCTCACTTGGCTTCTAGTTGCCCCCAAAAGGATAGTGACGACTCATGTCTCACATTAAATATTTTAGGCTAAATCGAAACTTAAAATGAATTTAACACGGCGCAAACTAAAGACTTGGGAGAGTCCGTGCATAATTGAGAGCCCGTTGGCCCGCCTTTGGGCATTACCTCTAAGCTCATCTTTTTCCTCGACCACATCTACGAAAAAGAGGATTGCGGCAGTTTGTTTAGAAGGTTTTGATATATATTATTTGAAGATAAATTATCTTTATAGTTGAGGTTAAATTAGTTATTCATCAAAGGATTGAAGTGAAGCTACATTGTTCTTTAAATTTTATGAAAAAATTTTAGGCCGTGACACCTAGAATTGAAATGGGAAGAATCTTACGGATTCTCACTGAAACTAGTTTGTATGTTTTTATAAACCAGCTCTATTTTCAATTCTCTCATGATTCACCTCTAAAGAACCCGAAATGCACAAACAGAGACAACCTCTAACGATCAACCCATGATTATTGCCGACTCGTTCTCACCTCTCTCAACTAAACGAAACGAACTTCCAATACCAACTAAGTAGTACAATCTCAGTCAACAATTTAAAGGACAAAATCTTAAACAACAAAGGAGCTCATTGTAGCATTCGAGAGCCATAAAACCAACTACGACAATAATGTAAATCAGCTACAGCAACATTGACGAGATAAATCCACTAGGGAATACCAAATCTAGTAAAAGAGAGAAAGCATGAATACAACATGGATGCAGATACGCTAATTAGTATAGTGTAAAAATTGAGGAATCAAATCAATAAACGATATGAGAGAAAGCACGACCATTTACCTTCGCAAATCTGAAAAGTCTAATACTTAAACTCTCTAAGCATTTTCATGAAGTTTCGACCGGAACCAGAGAGCTACGGAGGAGAAGGAGAAGGAGATGATAGGACTTTCAGAAAAAGAGCTTTATACCATGACTATGAGAAAATTTATCCCCTCTTTTATTCTACTTTGTCTTATCTCGGACAGAAACCAATCATAAGAAATAATATAATTTATTCTATCTCGAATTTTATCCTAATCATCAAGGGCGGCAATATTATCAGTTGTTAGCCTTCTCTAGCATGCTGCTTAAAGTTCGCATGCACTTACGTTAGACTTAGACATGTAATTACAACTACTTGAAATTGAAAAACATCTCTTGACGTACAAATTATGCAGCTTCAAACCTTTAGAAGCTGCAACTTATTCAAGTAAGTAATGGCGATCCAGTCCATCTCGACCGGCGACCAGCGCACATTATTGATCTCGGCCGAGGACCCGTACCACATCTCTGGCTCCACCTCCCCGGCATTTTCTGGCCGGAATCCGGCGGTAAGGACATCCCATATGAACACCCTCGAGTCATCGCCAACGGAGCACAACTGCCGCCCAACCCGCGGGGCCCATGATATTGCATTCACGCTAGCCTTGTGCCTATTAAGCTCCATGAGAGGCGTGGTCGGAAACCTAATGTCCAACACCACCACCTTACTACTATCGATCCCAACCGTGGCCATCGACTTCGGGTCGGCCTTGTTCCACTCCAATCTCAACAGCGGGCTATCCGCAGTGGGGTTCTCGTATATGATTGTCGACCGCTCCTTATCTCTAAGGTCGAAAACCCTGACCGAGCCATCTCCGGAGACTGAGGCGAACACGTTGAATCCGCCCCATGAGACGTCGTACACCTCCTTGTCATGAGCAACCAGCTGCGCATCAACCGCCTCCCTCTCTACGTCCCAGATGGTGCACGTGGTGTCGACGCTGCAAGTGGCAATGCGGCGTGTGTCGAAGCTGGCCCAATCGAACGAGGTGATGGCCGAGCTGAACTCACTGCTCTTGTTGCCGTTCAGGAGGGCTTTGAGCTCGGTCCGGTCCTCACGGATCTCCCACACCCTCAGGTAGTCTCCAGAGGTGGCGATTAGGTCCGGGCACGAGGGGTCCTCGGAGGGGAAGAACATGATGTTCGTCGGCGCATAAGGGTGGTCGAAGGCTAGGTGGGATTCGGGGGCGAAATCGGACGTGTCGGGGTCGAATTGGACAAGCTCGACTTTGTTGCTATGATCTTCAAGGAAGCTCCCGACGGCGAGGCGCAAGCCCTTGTCGCAGCGAACGGACCAGCCCAAGGAGTAAATTGGCCATTGAGCTATGAAAGTGGAAACGCCTGCCTTTTTGGTGTCGATAGGGCTTTGCATGGAGAGTTCAGTGGTGCTCTTCGGGAAAAGGCCTTTAGGATCTGCACGACGGGGGATAAAGCAAATCTTGGTCGTAAGTGCATCTTTATAGTATCATCATGTCTAAAAGAATTAATTTAGGCTGCATTATCGGTGAACGATGAGACATTGTAAAGCAATATAGTGATTTTTTCAAAGGATTAAGTAATACCCGCCTCTCACTTTGATTTTCTAAACCACGATAGAGCAATTCAAATATCAATTGATTACCTTTATTCTTTGGAAACATGTTTTAGGATTTTATTATATTTATTACGCTGCGTGTTCCCCATTAGTGGAGGTGGCAATATGGGTCAGAAACCCATTTATTAGCTTATTTTTAGTTGGTCCAGATTGAATATGGGTCACTTGAAATTTTGAAAATAGGTCAAAATGGGTAGCTCAAGTTTATATGGATCAAATATGGATTTGTCAACAAACCCATATTCAACCCATATTTGATCCATTTAAGTTATTAACTTGTAACCTTGTAGGCTAAATAGCTTAAGTGTCATTTAAAAAAAATTATTTTTTATTTTTTAAAAAATCGAAATTTTTTAATTATTTTTAATTATTAATTTATTTTTCTTTTTTTTCCTTTTTTTTCTTTTTCTGTTTCCTTCTTCTTCGGCCGGTTGCCGGTCACAGTGACGGCCGTCGACCAGCCATAGGCAAGCTTCGAGCTTGCCCGAGCTCTCCAAATTCCGACGAGCATGAGCTCGCAGCTCGCCGATTTGGACAAGCTCGCCTGCGGCCGGTCGCCAGCCATTGCTAGCAGCCGGCCGAAGAAGAAGGAAAAAGAAAAATAAAAAAAGAAAAAAGAAAAATAATTCAAATTTTCATTTTTGAAAAATAAAAAGAAAATAAAGATATATAAAATATAAATATATATTTTTTAAATTATAAAAATTGTTTACTTATTTTATATTGCATTAAAGCATTTTAGCAATATAAATATTATAAGAAACAAGTTTTTTTCTAAATTGGGTTTTAAAGTTTTTTAGAATACGGGTTGGGTCGGGTCGGGTCGGGTATGAATCGTTAGATTTACATTATATTAATATGGATCAAAACGGATTGAATGGGTTAATATGAATAGAACCATTTTCGATCCGACCCGATCCGATCATTTGACCACCCACGAGTGCCAGTCTAAGTACAGAGTACAAGTTAGCCATCTCTTATCCTTTGTTTGACTAGCTTGCCACGTAATACACATACTGCGTTGGGGGCTTCACTTACATTTATACGCAGCAGTTGAGCCGCTAAAGTAGACACTATCAAGATTCAATTATGTTTTTTGACCAAAAAAAAAAGAGATTCAATTATGTTTCGATTTGAGTATATTCTTTTAGACTTTTGACTTTTCGCGAAATCTTAACTTAGAAGTAATCAATTCAGGGGGGTGCTAACGCATGCTTAACATAGTTGAGCCTGCAACCCTTTGCCGAAAAAAACCTAAACTGATAGAGAAACATGACGGACAATATGTTTTATATCTTAAAAAGAGAAACCTGCCTTCTCCAACTTTATCGAGAAACCTCAGAAAAGGAAGCGCAGGTTTCGTAGAGCTGAAACGGAAGGATGTCATGAACCCCAAGCCCACATAAACTGATAAGAGAAATATGGCTGACAATATGTTGTCTATCTTAATAGGAGAAATCGGCCTTCCCCAATTATATAAAGAACATTTTTGACCAAAAAAGTTAACTATATCAAGAAACTTCAAAAGAGGAAGCGCAGCTTTCGCAGAGCTGAAATGGGAAGGATGTTATGAACTCCTAGCCAACATAAGATTACACGAGAGAGAGAGAGAGAGAGAGAGAGAGAGAGAGAGAGACTTACATATACTCGGGAGGAAGCAGTGACTTTCTGGGATGTTCTATCTACAAGTACGCACGGAAACGAAGAGGGAGAGAGAAGTGACAATTCAAAGTAGGGAGGGAGAGAGGAAGAGGAGAAGGAAGAGCCAGCGAGTTGAAATGGAAGGTGAGGTGGGAGTGAGGAGTCAAAAATCCCTTCTACGCCGCGACTTTAATATACATGACCAACCAGGCAACCGTGGGGAAGGGAAGGTGAAGCTAATGGTCAAACTCTCTGCACGAGGGTCGGTCCGCGTGTGCAGGTATGTCATCTGGGTAGGTGCTGCCTCTCCCTCTCCCTCTGATGATCACACGCGTGTTTTGGGTCCAGCGCATTTACCCTAACTTCATTTTAACCTTGAAAAATTCAAAACGTGAAAAAAAGTGAATGATTAGGTTCGCCCGAAAACACAAAGTTTTCTTACAGGAACTGGTTCAATGGATCCGGTGTTAATTGGAACCATTAAATCCAGTCGATCTCATGTAAAATTCGATGAATTCATCAGATTTGGGTTTAATGTGTCGCATATACAGATATTGACATCTAGGATTACCTAACTTCTGTGGAAACCTTTCATGATTTTGAGTAATATTTTGAGCATTATGATTCGGAAGCAGAAGGGCTTTTTAAGCCAAACCAAATGGTCTAAGATATCCCCAATTATCTAAGATGTTAACCGAGATAATTCGATTCCATCACTGATCGAATCAATGCATTATGGAGATAGGAAGAGATATATTAGGGTATGAGATCGGGCATTGATTGGCTTAAATAATTGAGTTTGTTAACTAATATCCCCGATAATCTAAGATGTTAAGCAATCAAATTCAAATAGAGGACACAAGAGATGTTGATATACATCAATACGAAAGGTTCATCATACGATAATAGATGAAGTATCTTTCGATGTTAAGGATCGATTGGTCCTAAATCGCTGTCACTTGAGATGTGAGATTATCACATTCCGTTAAAACCTTGTTTAAAGCAACATGGCAAAGTTTGTAGAATTAGGTGATGATCATAATAGATGCACACCAGAATATGATCCACTAATCACATGACCCTTTGGAGGTAACAAACAACGCTGGTCTATGAAATTTTTCCTTGTTAATTCTTTGTTCATTGCGTCGATTGTTCAATTTGGATTTTTTTATTCCTATGCAATCTAACTCCCTTAACTCGCAGGAATCTGCACAATGTATGGTCATTCTATTGTAGTACATGATCACCGCCGCATCGCCCCTCTCTTTCTCTCTCTGACGGTTGGTCACGGTGATGAGACTCCGTTGGGTCAGGTCTCGACAGCATTGATCAATGTTCGTGACGACAGTGACAAATGAGAAGGAGGAGAAGGAGGAGGAGGATGGAGGTGGAGGAAAAGGAGGAGAAGAAGAAGTAGCGGCAATGGCGGTCCATGTTATTTTTTATTTTTTTTTTGGAGTTTGCTAGCATAACTGCTCCATTACTTTGATTCGATAATGGTGCAATGGGAGCCACATGTTTCATTTTATATGGGAAGGGCGACCGGACAGAGTGTAAAATCAAAGAGCGACTTTGCTTGTGGCCATCTTTATTGCTTTACAAATGTGTTGTTTATTATATATAATCAGAGTGTATATTTAAAGAAAAAAATTCGGTTTTTGAGGATAATATAATTTAGTCAAAAAATAATGATCTATAAATAATTGACAATCGTTCATAAAAAAAATGATCAATCGGAAAGGTAAAACGGATATCCTTGAAATTTCATAAATCTTTCTAATAATAGTAACAACTTTTTTTGCTAGTGATAATATTTTACTACTTGCGATTATCTATATTTTGGTATTCAATTTGCTATAGAATTATATCTTTCCTAATATTTTTTTGTCATTATTCATATTTAAGGAATCTCACTTAGTGGGAGTGGGATGATCATGATGTTGACCATGACTGGAGCAGAATTTATTGATGCTTCAAGTTGCGTAAATTAAATTTTTGATTTTTAATTTCGATAATTATATTCATTTTGTTGAATGATGAGTATTTTCCTTTGCGACTGTAAGTGCAAAAAATTGTTTCATAATAGAGATGTTGTTAATAGAAGTTCCACATTTATTTTGTCTTAATATAAATATGTTTAAATGATACTTTATATCGATGATTTTTTTTAAAAATATATTATTTTATTTTATTTTTTAATTTATTGTTTTCTAATCTAAAAATCCCACTTGGTGCGACCCATCAAGTGGGATTCTTAAGGTTTTTTTTTTTTTTTTTCTCAAGGCCTTAAAGAAAACTTGTGGTGGGGCGAGCACCATTACTACCCATTACCCAAGGAGGAGTAATGATGCCGTCACCATCTCTCAATTTATTTTTTATTTTGTTGGCCCACCTCGGGGAAAAGCACATGATGGTGGCACTGCATTGAATCGATTTTTGAAAATTCATTGATTTGGTTGAGTAAAAAAAAATTCAAAGAAAATATTGAACAATAAATAAATCTAATATGTATAAAAGCTTGGCTCCTCCTTATTAATTAGGCCTATAAATTTTCCAATTTTTATTTTCCATCTAACATAAATATAGAAGTTGAATTTCCTCATTTAGTGTGGCCCATTAACTCTAAATATTAAATTAAAAAACCTGGTGACCATTGCCAGCACCATGCGTGGGTATATATTGCTAACAATATATATTTACATGTGTTTATTTTTATTTATATCATTAGCGGCACTAATTCTTATTGTGGTTTGTTTGGGGTTCATTGAGTATGGAAAATACTAAGTAAATATATTTTTTGAATTGGACATACAAAATGCGGCCTAAAGATTTCAACTTATTATCTAGTTAAATACACTGGTATTATAAAAATTAGAAAAGAAGAGTTATTGTTAAATTCTACCCAAATTCAATCACATTTTTGTTTTAGAGTATGTGGATTTTCTTATTCAGTGTCATATTCTTTTAATGTCATTTTCATTCACTCTTTATAATAGCTAAACTAAAGTTGAGACCATATCGGTTTGTCCACTATTTAAATGTTACTAATGATTAAAGGCTATGGAACTCTAATTTATCTAATGTTTATGAGTTAATTTTGAAATAAGCAAATTTCAGATAAATTTATTTCATTTTTACTTTCTTCTGAATGGATTCTCCAAGATAAATTTAAAATAATATGATCACAACGTAGAAAAGCAAATCTAGTGAAATGTATATAGGTTGATTCAGATAAGTTGTAATTTTTATTTTTTTAAAATTTTTGCTAAATTAAATGAAAAGTATCATTTATTCACCCTTAGTGAAGTATATTAGATTGAATGAAACAAATTATATCATTTAAATAAAAAAAAACGTTATCAATCTTATCTCTTTCAACCCAGATTGAAACTCAGTGAAGATTAGAATAATTAATTAGATATGCTATAATTAAAATAAACTGATTTTAAAAGAAGAAAATCAGAATAGATGAAATGTAAATATGTATGTTTCAACCAAATTCTGAATTTTTTTCTTAGTATGTTGAATTAAATTAACCATATCAATTATTTTGGTCCAAATTAAATAAATGCATAAACCCACAAACCACACAAAGTTGCATGGAAAGTAATGTGCTCACCAAAAAAGGAGGGAGGACTAGGTCCGCTCGATTTGGAACTCTAGAATAAAGTATTACTGGGCGGCATGCTCTAGAGTCTCATCAATCATCTATCATCATCCCTATGGAGTACTTGCGTTCATCACATTAAATGTAGAGGTACACCCACCATGCAACTCGACATAAAGGGTCATATGACTTGGAGTTGGCGATGCATTCTCAAGTTGAGACTTGTTCTAGCACCTATCATCTCTAACCAAACATACTATTGCAAAGAGATATACAAGGAATTCAGACAAAAGGGACTGGCTGTGGATTGATATCGATTGATTTGGACCAATGGTACTAGTAAGCATAATTTTATCAGTTGGTTTGTTTGTAGAGTAGGCTACTTACAGCATTAGCCATATTACAATGGTTGTCTTTAATTGATACTAAGTTTAGCTTTTGTATGACTGGTATAGAGACAAAAACCACCTATTCTTTGAGTGCACATGGACAAGTAGTATATGGCGCAATATTCTGGCACAAAATGGAATTTGGCGTTCTGCAGGAGGTTGGAATTTAGAACTCCAATGGATGATTAGGGCCACCAAGGGCAAAAACTTGGAGGCGAGACTCCTCAAGCTATTTTAGCGACTATCTATTACATTTGGATGGAACATAACTCCTTTCAAAACAAGTCAACTGAACTTTATCTTCTGTTTGTTAGGATTCGAAAGGTTGTAAAAGGTAGGACGTCATTTTACTAGCATTATAAGACTTCCAAGGCAAATGTTTTATTGGCTACTGTATGGAGGCTTCCTTCCTCCATCTTCTCGCATAATTAGTCTCTTTTTCCAGACCGAACCATGAAGTCTATCATCGGGTCTACAATGCTACACAACGCTTATTGCCCGAAAACCGCATTGGTCACCATACTTCTTCCTTGAGATATTCACCAAACACTTGAATAGATTAAGAGCCCACCAATCTATTATCGGCTTTGATATCATAAGTTGAGAGTGCGCGCAGCAAAAGTCGTACAAAAAGTTCTTCTTGAGCTGCACGAAGAGCTTGAACTCGGTGATTTGTGCTGTGGATTTTACATCCAATTGAGTTGGTTATTTGTAACCACTTTGGGCTCTAGGCTTAATCTAAGCGTGGGAAACACTCGAATATATAAGCAATTGTAATTTTGATTTTTCAATTATTAGTGGATTATTTGCTGCTGGCTCTCCCAGTGAAATAGGTACCGACACTCGAACTGAACCATGTAAATCTCGGGTGTCCTTATTGTTCTTTGTTTATTTCTCGAGTGATTTTGCGTTGATTTGATTACAAGATCCTGTTATCGTTTCCGCATTATTATTACAACATATCCCACTTGAATTTTCTTCGGAGACTCTTGTTTCTTGTCTCAGGGCACTCCCCATGTCCAAACTGATCAAACCCTACCAAGTCTCTTGAGATGCCAATGACGAAAGACTGCTTTTGTCAAGTGAACATCTTCGCACCTCTTGCCTTCTATGTTCTCCATTCTCTTTCTTCGGTCTGCTTCGTTCGATTTCCTTCGACCCACCTCATTTCGACTATAATACCAGAGTTGCATTTAATGAAGTAGACGGCAAGTTTTCCCTATATAAGTTGACCTCACAGGCGCCAATCTTTACTTCCGTGTCGGCCCCGTCGCGTCCTCGAAGCCAGTGCAGCTGTGGGCCTCTTTAACACCACACAACTTGCAGACTTCACGTCCCACTTCTCGTTCGCGGCAGACAATGCAGATCGCGATAGCTTTGGTGATGATGGCCTTGCCTTCTTCAGTGCACCTGTGGGTCATCCATTTCCACCACTCGGCCGGTGGATATCTAGGATTTGCTTAACTCAACCACCGGCGATTCATCCACAAATCAGATCATCATGGTTGAGTTCGACACTTACAACAACAACAGAGAATATGATCCCGCAGAATTTGACTCTCGTGTTGGGATAAATATCAAGAAGGATAAACTCAGCTGTCTATGCCGGTTGGGATAAACTCGCATGTAGTGATAAACTCGGCAGTCTATGCCGGTTGGGATGCCCGCTCCGTGAGTCTGAAGCCTTGCAACGGTTGCGTAAATTACAATTCCATTACCAAGGAGCTATGTGTTCTGGACACATGAAGACAATCCGGTATATAATGGGATTTCCAATCATTCTATCCCCATAGCTATCGAATAGTTAAATAGACAGAGCAAGAAAATAAATGGTACACATGATTTGGTTGATGTGCCCTTTGTCCGTGAGGAAAGCAGCAAAGACGATACAACAAAATTTAGAACCACACTCAAGTGACTCAAACGCTATTGGTATTTCCCAAGCTCCGGTTACACCCAATAACTCATATAGTATTTAGCCTCACAATCCCTCATGACATGACTCTCAATCTCACAAAAGAATTAACAATCTTACTACAAGATTTGATTAGCTTTAACACTTGAATTCTCAATGTAATTCCATGAACAAAACGCATGGAGAAACCCGCTGCCAAGCACTCCTGAAATGACGCTTCAACAACGTGCACCATAACAGCGCTGCTTGAGCACTCACACAGCATTCGCCGATGCGGCTTCACAAGTAAAACCCAAGAATTTATATAATAAGAAATCTTGGCCGAATCCTATTGGAAGGGAATTTCCTCTTTCTATTGTACTTGGTTGGCTTCAATCAGGAAGTTGATTCACTTGTATTTCGGAGCAAACTTGTATCCAGTTTAAGGTCCAAGTTGGACTTTCCCTTTTGATCTGACTCGATTACTTAAATAAATTCCATAATCTACAACATTCATTTTCTTAAGCTTTCATGTGCCAGGTTTATACATAATTCAATTTGGGTCGGGTTCGTTCAACGGGCTTAAACTCCGGACATATTTTAACAGTAACAATAGGATTTTCAGCTGCAACTGGTCTTTCCAGCGAGCAGCATGTGATCAACTCATGGAAATTCTCTTCAAACTAGAGCTCCACTTATGTAAGAAATGGCACACAACCAGTATGTCTAACGAAATTCATGTACCATCTTTGTGAAGATGTCGAACAGCAAGAAAGCTGCGCGTAAAGGAGCATGTGCCGACTCTGGTATAAAGATAAACCAGTAGATCGACAAAGGAGCTCTGCCCCGAATATTTTCTTACCAAGAATCGGTTAAAGGCTACGAATGGCATTGGCAGTGATAGAAGGCTTGGCCAAGGCGGCTCGGGCCACGTCTTTAAAGGAGTTTTGAGCGATCTTGGCTGCCTCAATACTCTGATTCCGGACATTCAGAAAGGTTTTTCATCAACGAAGAAGTGAATAAAAAGCCGTCTCATTCATCAAAATTTGGTCCAACTCATCGGCTGGTGTCATGAGCGTAGAGAATTCATACCGATCACCATCTTTTCGGCAATAAAAGAACGCTTCCATGGGAGACTAGTTATAAAATAGCTTTAGGCCTGGCTTCGGCTCTCGATTACCTTCACGAGGAGGCGGGGAAAGTGCGTCATTAAGAAACATCAAGTCGGCTAATGTAATGTCAGTCAAAGACTAGACTAAGCTTGGGGATTTTGGGGTGGCTAAGCGTGTCAACTCCCGAATGAGAACTCAAGTGACTGTTGTTGTAGGGACTTATGGCTACCTGGCCCTGGAATATATATGCAAAGGACGAGTGAGTAAAGATTAGGACTTGTATAGCTTTGGAGTCGTGGCACTGGAAATTGCGTGCAATAATTCATCTGATGTCTCTTCATCTTTTTAAGAACCAAAACAATAATTAATCACAGCAATGATGATTACCATAATCGAATGAATACTGTGATTAATCAAGAAGATATGGATGCATTATTATAGAGTGAAAAAAAGGACTAGTTTTAGGTTGAAGCAGTTCATTCTGCTCAAGTATCCACTGCAAAATGCATAATAAGCATCTTCTCTTGATCTTTTGCCTTCACAAGTGCACGCCTCTCAAGGGACATGTAAAGGCATAAAGGCGATAGAATTGCGATAGAGGAATGAAGTTGCAATTGGAAAGAAAGTAACATTTGTCTTCGTGGTGGCTATAACAGACTCATCTTAACAGTAAGATGCACTCATGATCCATTAAAGGAGTGGGTAATATGAAGTTATCGTATATCAGAGTCCTTTCACTATATTCCGCAGCAATGTTCAAAAGATCAGTATTCAAGAGCTTTCAACCCAGAGAGTTATGTATATTGCGTTGTATTGTTTACATGTAGTGCGGCAGATAAAACGCCCTAGGCTCCGGTGCAACCAAGCTGGAACCTCCGAACTTTCATTCTTCCATCCATTGCTAAAGCCAAGACGTCATATTCCTCGACATACCAGAGCTCAGACACCAATGCCTGCACGGTCTCAGGACAGAGATACAACAGATTGTCAGAAAAACAATTGATCTGGTGAAGAGAGGAATCGAAATGTTGATCGGCATAAGAACTTGCACCACGTGATTTAGAATCAATATTTGTAATGATGCGGACAACATTCCCAAGATCTTATGCAATCTAATCTCACTCCAAATTGGTTGCAACCAGTGTCGGTCATGAAGTTGCAACCATAAATTACAACAGGAAATGATATGTACATTGGTAGATAATAAATATAAACATGAATTTCAATCTCACAAAACATGAGGCTACGAAATTACCAAGCTCTGTCATTTAATGCAGACAAGTACGAAATTTCCTTTGGCAATAGAACTTCATTCTGACTGTTCAGGGAAAGTTTTTACTCAGATATACAAAGTTCGCTCCACTCACACTGTGAATTCGCAAACTACTTCCAATCCCCAAAGTGTTGTCGTGAATGAATAGATGAAGGAAATTTTGTCTGTCTCATGCAAAATTGTCCCCCATTATTGAGTTTATATTTGGTATGCCTTTCCTCCATCACAAAGAGAAGTCAGTGGCCCCATTGCTTTAGAGGACAGTTCCCTTCACGCACATGCTCTTCAAAAAAAATGCAGATTGCAAAAAAATGATCAAATGAGTGGTGTCACAGGTCGTTTCATATTTCGAATGGCAGTTTCTGGGGCTATCTCATGTGACTTTGATAGTACATTTGTCAACATGAGAGCCACCAAGCACATAAGACACTTGCAAGCAATATTTCAATTAAACAGATAACAAATACACAATAATTTTATCACAGTGACATAGTATAAAAATTCCGAAAATAAAGAACAAGAAACCGACCTCAGATCCTCGAAGTTTCTTGTTTAGTTCGGCAACCAGATCATGGAAGAACTGTAGCTGATCTGAATTTGTACTCAAGTCCTGAAGAACTATGACATGAACATGAGCCCAGGGCAGGCCATAACTAATAAAGCTTAATATTCACACAAGAATCTACATGCGCTTTCCATAGTCTTAAATGGTGTCAAATTCCTCCACATTATGGAAGAATCTAACTGAAGCCATTGCTCACTAATTTAGTTCATCTGCCCAATCATGAATGTCACTGATACTTAGTAAGAAAATGTCACCATCTCTTCAACCTCAAGGTAGACCTAGTCGAGTACAATAGAGATGGCAGTACTACTCTTCATGTCCAAAAGGGAGCCTCTACCTTTTCTTTCCTTCCTTTTATTTCTTTTTCTTCTGTTCTCTATTTTTAGTTCCAATTTAGTGCCAATGAATGTGAATTAGCCAGCAAAATAAACTGCATAATGTATCAGATGAAATTATTACCTTGGAAGTGGTTTTAGGAGGACCCAAGAGCCTCGCAAAGGATGTGTGAAGAATAGCAGCATCATACTGCACATTGAAATTGGTAAAATTACTGGAAACTTAGGACATTTGTACATAGATATATGGCAAAGGAACATGCTTCCATGAAAAATAAAGGATTACCAGATACCATTGTCCTAACATTAAGTATTGGAATCACAGGTTTACATCCTGCCCTCCTAAATTAAGCCATTTTATTTACATGATACAGACGGAGGAAAATGACAGAGTTACCACGGGATCATTTTTATGTATCTGTGATTACAAGTAGAACTTCAGAACCTACAGCACTCAAACCCAGCTGTTTGCTCATGCCATTTAGACACAAAGACCGTGATAGTTCCCATTCTCTCATATGATTGACTCTTAGACCTCCTTCACAGAACAGGTTGAACAAGGAGGCAATTGTCTCTACTTACAAGTTGCTTTTCTGGCGCATGCGGAAGTGCAGTTCTCAACTTTGCACGTATGGAGATAGGATCGGTCCCAGAGATAACCTGGACATACGTCAAGCAGCATGATCATTTAAAGCAACTTGGCCATTAATTCATGAAAAAGATCATCGTGTGGTCATTCAGTAACCCATGGAGAGTTTTCAAAGATTTTGAGAAACAGAGAGCCAATAGCAATTAGTTGTCAATGAGGGAGGTGAGCTCTTGAAGATTGAGAGTTGAAGTTACCTGCCAGCAACCGAGAAGCACACCAGTTGAAGTCAAAACCACCCTATCCAAGACAATCTTCAAAGGGCATACAGCGTCTGCAACTGCCCTCACAGCAGTAGCTTCAGCTTCAATCTGTTTAAAAGAATTCAGTACCAAGGCCAAGAAGATTCTGTGTTAAGAAGAAAATCTCGTAAAGCGGAAATTACCTCGTCTTCAGAGGTTGGAACAGGAGAGATATGATGAGAGGCATGGAACATGCTAAAATGATATACACTAGAGTTCTGAAACCAGATTGCTAACAAAGATCCCAGTTAGCTTGCCAATAGAAAAATTAGGCTTACTAAAATGAAGGAGAATTCGAGCAACAAGCAATTCCAAACTGTAACTGCTAGAGAAGTGACTGATTTGTAAACAAAAGCCTACCTTTATCAAAATATGGTCCAAATAATTGCCGTACAGAATCCCTGCAATTAGTCATGCATAAGATACAGATTAAGTCTTGTCAAATGCTTTTTAATAGAACCAGAAATGAAATCCGCCATTCTCCGACATACATATCAGAGTTACCAGGTATAGCTAGAGGAGCAGATGTGGAATAGATTTCAATAACTTGTTAGATGTAACTGACCAAGCAGAGCAAACATACAATAGCACAGAGTACTAGCCAGTAGCAAGATCTATACCAATATGTCAAGTAGACAATCAAAAGCCTGATTAAGCTTCGATTGACTCAGAAGAACATGCTCCATCAATTTAGTGGCGACAGGTATGATTCTAGTAATACACTAGCCATAGAAAACCATAAAGAAGACGAAATAAGCATGAAGCATATGATTGAGCTCTTACGCTATGGGTTTTGAGTATTTTGAACTTAAGTACAATACATTCGCTCGGACAGGAGGATTAGCAACCTGGACAAATGAGCAGTGCCATTGTCATGATACATAAAAGTAGGAAATAACTTCGTCGTCTGTAAAAGATAAATCGTCAGGAAAGTTACCTTAGGTACGGGTTTCACAGCTCCATCCACCAAAGTGAATAGTTCTGAGAGGGACAATGACTGGGAGGTCTCCCCGTGTTTAAGGAATGCGGCCCCATGCTCATCCAAGTCTTTTGCCATTCGATCATACAATCTAAACCTCCGCTCTGTGTTAGAAATTGGGATATCTGTCGCAAGCCCTTTGAAATGAAGATATTTTCACAAAAGTCTATCTCTAAACCATAAAAGGGCGCATTCAAATGAATGACATGAACATGTCAAGAGTGCATGTTCTAATATTATGAAGCTAGAAGTTTCAAATTGGAGCCCTAAAAATAGTGCATAGAAGTTTGTTAAGCTGAGAAACCACCGGTAAGACTTGACAATGAGGCTAAGAGTCTCACATACGCAAATGAGCATTTAAACAAGTGGGTAGTAACCACTGTCACTAAAAATTTACCACATCACTGGCTACAATTTTTTTGTACCTGTATTAGTATACCTAGCATGATTCGCACAACGAAGTCCAAGACAAAACCGCTAACTAAGCAGCCTACCAAGCAAGGAATACCACGACGATACTTGTCATACAAAGGTGAGTTTTGGGTTTCTACATACAGCCACATTTTAACTCCAGTGCAAAGAGATCTTGCCTGGAAACAGGAACCCACTACATTGCACCAATTAAACCTTCTTGGTAAACGAAATTCGTTCCCTTCCACCATTTGTTTCTGTCTAATTAGCTACAGCAAACATCGTCCTCCACGCTCAAACTAACATATCCTTATATCAATTCTTTTTTGCCAAAGGAAGCCAAAAATGTGGGTTAGCTTTGTTCAATCGGTAAAGCTGATTTTCTACATCAGATCATCAGGATAATTAACGAAGAAAATTCATATCCCCCATGTCCCAATTCCATCTGTCTCGAGCACGCAACTTCTTTCAATCCCCGAAGCAGATCAAGAAGAGCCAGCTGGTGGGCGGTTCAAGGAGAGAACATAAGCAAGTCAAGAAACCATACCCGATGAAGCGCCGGAGGACGGGGTGGGGACGGGACCCGGCAATGAATTGTGCAGCGCCATGCGAAGAAGGAAGTGAAACAGCGCGAAGCAGAGCACCCAGATGAGCGCGGCTTTCGCCCTCGAATGGTTCCACCCAGCCCAAATCCTAGGCATCACCATATTCTCTTCGACGACGTCGGTAACACATCTACATCACGGCAAGATGGTACGACGACGAGGGAGATGATGGCGATGCCCCTGCACTACTGCTTGCTGCGTTCGCTCGCGAAATGCTCGCTTTCTTGATCTGGATGTTTGGAAGAAGGAAAAGGAGAAGGATGTGTCATCAGTCATCGCTTCACCTTCACTCCATTTTCCTTTTTCTTTTTTTCTTCTTTTTTTTGGGTCTGTGCTCCGTTTTCCTGGAAAAGATGATTTTTAGAATAAATAATAATGGGATAAGTACACTACTACATGCTCTAAAACTTATGGGTTATCGAGTCTCAAAACTTTTAAAAAGTACAATTAAATATTAAAAATTATCACAAAAATATAATCAAATCCTAAAATTTATCACAGAGTATAATCGAGTGCTAAAACTTTCACAAATTTTATGTAGGACTTCAAATGTTAGTTGTAGCCAAAAATAACATGAATAGTGTATGCTGGAAAATTCTACATGCTTTGTCCCCAACATGGTCAGTCCAAAACAAAAAAAGATTGAAACTTAAGTTTCGTTTGTTTCGCAAAAAATGAATGATTTGAAAAATATTTAAAAATATTTTCTTAAAAATAATCGCTTGTATCGCTTAAAAAAATGAATATTTTCATCGTTCGCGAAAATATTTAGAAATTATTATCGATAATATAAATATATTTGATTGACCGCTTATTTCAAACGATATAAACGATCATTTTTAGGAAAATATTTTTTAAATATTCATTTTTCGTGAAACAAACGGCGCCTTAGTTCATAATGGGATGATGGACGACGGTGAACATGGGCGATGACGATAGTTGAGATAGAAGGAGGAAGAAGAAGAAGAACGGAAAAAAGATACAGAAAAATAAAAAAAATAATTGAAGAAAAGAAGATTTACACCTAGAAAAATAATACAGATGTGACAATTCACATATTTTTTTGTGCCGATTTTCGCTGATTTGTTGGTCCACGTAGAATAAAGCAAGTCACTTGACATTAACTCGTTACAAAGGACCACATCGAACTTATATTTGAATGTGTGGGATCGGATTTGCATAATAGAAGGAGTTCGATAACGAGATTGAATAACGAAAAGAAAAATATTCCGAGACTACCCGTTTCGATACCTATATTACTCAAAGGGATAATAACACAGATAATCTCTGAACTTTTGCCCAATGTATAATATAATCCCTGAACTTTTAATTTGTTCAATGTGTTCCCTGAATATTCCTTATTTGGATCGGGTCGGTCCGGGTCGGGTCATGTTTGAGCGGGTACTTTTGACACCCCTACTGAATAGTTCAAGAATCAATTTGAACATGTACCAAAAACTTAGAGACCATATTGAATGAATTAAAAGTTCAAAGATTATATTCGACCTTATCATATAGTCCAATTATTAGTTTGAATATGTACTAAAAGTTCATGGACCATTTATGTCATTTGCCCTTACTCAAATAACCGATTCTAGCTAACCACCCCATAACTTCATTACTTCTTCCACTTACGAGTTTTTTCTATCTTAAAAAATTCTCTATTGGATCCTTCGAAGAGTCAATTTGATGATGAAAACCACTACTGGCTCCCTCTTCTTCAAAGGAGATCCAAGGGCCTGCTCCAACACTCAAAGCCATTTCTTTAATCACCGATCACGTCTCTCCGGTGGATGCACATGGATGTCTTTAGAACAAGAAGAGAAACAAGAAAATCTCAGTGCTTGCCCCGCTGGATTAGGACTGCTGGGGGGGTTTAGTTGTTCGGTTAGGAGAATATAAACTTAGTCAAATGTTGGAAAATTATATTCTTTTTATCTAATCATCATATGCCAATTTCCTAATTCACGAGCTTTTTGCCTTCAATAGTTACAGGGAAAATGACACAAACAGTCCCTGAACTTTTAATTTGTTCAATATAGTCCATGAACTTTAACCCAATGTGCAATGTGGTCCTTGAACTTTTAATTTGTTCAATGTCATCCATGAACTTTTGGTTCATGTTCAACTCAGTCCATGAACTATATGAAAATGTTCAATATAGTCCTTCCATTAATTCAAGTTCAGGGACAAATTAAACATTTTCATATAATTTAGAGACTAAATTGAACATGTACCAAAAGTTTAGGGACCAATTTGAACAAATTAAAATTTCAAGGGCCACATTGAACATTAGGCTAAAGTTCAGGGACTACATTGAATAAATTAAAAGTTCAGGAATCAAATTGAACATTAGGCCAAAGTTTTATGAACCGTTTGTATCATTATCCCATAATTGCATGCACGACCAGGATTTGGGCGAAGAGAATCAAGAGCACCCAGATCAATGGCTTGTGTTTTGACTTCGAATTACGATGTGCATAAAGATCTCGTATAATACAATAATGGGTCTCGAGTGATTCCATCCCGTTCATCGAGCTTCTGTGTCTACACATAGACCAAAGTTTAGGGAAATATTCTCCCGAGGTCTCGTCCGGTTGACGAATCGCGGGCGTAGAAATTCGATCCGTTCTCTATGTCATGGATTGGCTGACTCAAATCTTGAAGTAGGGCAAACTAATCCATGTTCCGATACGTCTGCATATATCAAACTTTTCTCTGTACTTATTAAACACCAGAAGGATATGAATGAATCAAAAGGCATGTTTCCCACTATGGGAGAGGTTAGCACCAACTCCTCTAGTCCTCTTCATAATCAACTGAACATTCCAGCTCTTACCCACATAATCATTAATTTAAATTCCACAGAATTGATTTCCCTTTGGAGTCAGCATAATTTCTCAGCTGTATAAAAAGCTCAGTCCCTGTGCGTCCTCATCAAACAATCCAAGCTTGACCTATTTCTTCTCAGCTCATTCAGATCATCACCCTAAGCTCGAGTTTGGGCTCGGACGAAGTTCATTCCAATCCTTCGTGTGTCTCTCCCTAACAAAAGAAAGAAGGGAAGATGAAGAGCGGCGATGCGATCGCGATCGAGATGCAGGAGACGAGCGCCGCCTCCAAAGGGAAAGCGCCGCTCATCCCGGCGCCTCTGCCGCCGCCGAGGCCCGACGGATGGAGGAAAGGGATCGCCATCTTCGACTTCATCCTGAGGATATGCGCCATCGTGACCGCTCTCGCCACCGCCGCCTCCATGGGGACGAGCGAAGAGACGCTCCCCTTCTTCACTCAGTTCTTTCAGTTCCAAGCCAGCTACGATGACATCCCGGCTTTTGAGTGAGCGAACTCTTTACAATAATACTCCGTCTCAATGCACAAAATTTGATTATGGGCTTTTATGGAGATTCAAGAACATATGGATTCACCAATGATGTGGTACACTTAATCCTATGATTAATAAGTAAAATGATTACTAATTTCATGCATATTACTTACTTAGAGGATATGGGGTGCTTTATTATTCATGTATGCAGGTTTTTCGTGATCGCGATGGCAATAGTAGGTGGTTATTTGGTGCTTTCACTCCCCTTCTCCATCGTCACGATCGTTCGCCCCCGTGCCGTCGGGCCCCGGTTCCTCCTCCTCATCCTCGACACGGTAAGTCGCGCTTTTTATTTACACTAAATAAAATGAAATGTACGATCTCGACCTTAGAATACTTGTACGCTCTCGGACGAAATAGGTTGAAAAAATGGTCTGAATAGCAGTTGATTGACATACAGACAAAGAGTGGAAAAATTCCTCAATTGTGGAGACTTTCTGCAGGCGGCCCTTACTCTGGCCACCTCCGCCGGCGCGGCGGCGGCCGCCATAGTCTACCTGGCGCACAACGGCAACCCGAACACGAACTGGCTGGCCATCTGCCAGCAGTTCGGCGACTTCTGCCAGAAGGTGAGCGGGGCGGTGGTGGGCTCCTTCATCGCCGTCGTCCTGCTCATGGTGCTCGTCGTGCTTTCCGCCATGGCTCTCCGAAGGGTCTGACGACCAAATGCAATACCTCGTCATGGCGTTCCTCTTTCTTTTCTTGCAATTGTGATCGTGTGATCTGTGTTTTTATCGTCATTTCATGTTCGAGTCCAAGATTAGCGTCTGAGTGACGTACGAGGAAGGTGCAATTCGACTTGTATACAGAGTTAAGGACATTCTTAAGTGTATGAAGTTGTGTTGAATAGGAAACTTCTTGTTGGCTAATGTAACATTTCAGCTATACATGTGTTGGCAAATTCTTTATCCATGGCTAAACGTTGTTATCGATCTCTTCATCTTTAGCACACCAACTTGCTGTGTGAGTTTAAAGACTAACTTTTCTCCGAAGAGGTTGAAATCTAATTTTAGAAGTACCTTTTCAACGGGTCGGCTCTCCATCGATACCCGATTTGACCCAAATATGAAAGAATATAGGGATAATGACACAAACAATCCTTTAATTTTGATCTAATGTATAATGTGGTCCTCGAACTTTTAATCTGTTCAATATAGTCCATAAACTTTAGCATAATGTTCAATGCGGTACCTTAACTTTTAATATGTTCAATGTGGTTTCTGGACTTTTGACACATTTTCAATATAGTCTCTTAACTTGAATTAATGGAATGACTACATTGAACAATTCTATATAGTTCATGGACTAAATTAGACATGTACCAAAAGTTCATGGACGATATAGAACAAATTAAAAGTTTAGGGATCATATTGCAAATTAGATTAAAATTTCAAAGACCACATTGAACAAATTAAAAGTTTAGAGACCTCACATTGCACATTGGGCCACACTGCAAATGGAATTAAAATTCAGGGATCACGTTGAACAAATTAAAAGTTTAGGAATCCCACGTTGTATATTGGGTCAAAGTTCAAGGACCGATTGTGTCATTTTCCCAAGAATATACATAACTCGTGACCCCGATCCGAGACCGGACCCGCACAGAACGTCGATTCCGAGCCGGGCCGGCCCGGACCGCTCGGCCTGTAGGGGGTTGGGGGGGAGCAACGGACCGGAGTCCGTTTCAAGCGGTCCGGCCCGGCCCGGTCCGGTGACGTGACCGACGTCCTTGCATATTTTGCAACGGCCGGCATCGCAACCCTCCCAACGAAGGCATTTCGGTATCACCGTCGTCGTCTACTTCCCGAAGCAAAGCAGTCGCAGCTCCACTCTCGCTCTCAAATCCTCCTCCTCCTCCTCCTCCTCTCCGCCGCTCTTCAAATCTCGCGGTTTTCCTCGGCTCGCCGGTTCGGACGCCGGAGGAGGAGGAGGAGGAGGAGATCCTCGGGGCTCCGATTTTTCCCCCCGTCGGGGTTTTCCTGGTTTCCGCCGGACGAAGTGATGTCGCAGCCCGGGAAATTGACGCCGAATCTGGACCAGAACAGCACCAAGGTGCTCAACCTCACCGTCCTGCAGCGATTCGATCCGAGCATCGAGGAGATTCTGATCACCTCCACTCACGTCACCCTCTACGAATTCAACATCGATAGCAACCAATGGGTTAGTTTCTCATTGTCGCCTGCGTGCGCGAACGGAGTAGTGCGCTTAGAGTGTTCGAACGATTTGTCGTCGTCTGGTTGACGCTAATGATTCTCCGGTGATTCTCCATAGTGCGCTCGCTTTAGGTGATTTCCCCTTTTTTTGCGTCGATTGTGGATGGTTTGCTTCGGATTCTGATGAAGTCGGGGAAGGTTTTCGCGACAGTCGGTTGTTTTGTCTCTATTTCGGGCTGTTTGTTGCATTGAGAATGAGCAAGTTGTGTGGGGTGATTGCAGAGTCGCAAGGATGTCGAAGGATCTTTGTTTGTCGTTAAGAGGTAGCTGTTGTTTCAAAATTTGTATTCTTCTGCTTCAGGAAACAAAGTTACTTGACTGTTGTGTTTGACGATCTCTGTCCGTGACATTTTGTAATAGGAACACTCAGCCGCGGTTTCAGTTCATTGTGCTGAATAGGCGAAGCTCAGGTTAGTGTTCATGGCTTGACGCCTCGATTTCAGGATACTATGCTGTGCGTTACTAGCAAATGAGACTTTTCTCTTTGGCATTCTGGTCATCTATTCATGCTTAGTGCATGTTTCATGGTATATGGTGTGATAAGACGCAGATTTTGATGCAAATGAGCTGGTAGTAGCTTTCGTAGTTCGGGAAACAATGATGGACACAATTGGATGGCTTTTACATTATGATGTTCTTTAGCAAATGAGTGTCAAGTAACGCATTGCATGTTATTTTATGATTAGCAGATAATTTGGTAGAGAATCTGCTTGGAGATTTTGAGTATGAAGTTCAGGTTCCATACTTGTTGTATCGTAACGCTGCGCAAGAAGTTAATGGCATTTGGTTCTACAATCCACGTGAATGTGAGGATGTTGCAAATCTCTTTACTAGGTAAAGTATCATTTCTTGTTCGTTTCCTGTACCAGTTAAATTTCTGTTGTGATTTAAAAATTTAAGATGAAATGGCAATGCAGATGACAGGACGGATAATCAGAGTAACGTCCAATAACATCTGTTGGCCAAACAGACGTGGGTTTAGGGGGGAAAGGTACTTTATTGAAATGATGTCATTTAAACTAGGCTGGACCAGCAAATTAGACTAGGTTAAGGGGCTAACAGCCTCGAGATTAATATAACATGTGAAACTGGCAATAGGTGAGAACTTGTACCAGTTTGGCCATCCGTTGCACAGATTATCCATTCAACTATCAAGCCTGCTCTGTTAATTTTGGCTCTATGGTGAGGCTATTCTGTTCTGGATGTTCATTTTAAGAACTATTTAGCTATAAGTGCAGGATTGTGGAAGGGTTTCCGGGAGCGAGCCGCACCACTAACAGACTTACTGATGGATGATATCTAGTTTGCTTTCATCTAGACAGTATATAGGAAGAAATTGTGAGAAGGACTTTGAATCTTAGGAGGGAAACATGGTTTGACTTTGGTTTTACCTTAGACCAGCAGTTACTTTAATAATTAAGCAACTACTGCTACCTGAGTTACCCCATGCTCAGAGTACGAAAAACAATTATTTGTCTTATTTAGGCATGGACACTAATCGGGGAATGTGTTTCTAATATTTCCATACCAGCAAAAGATTGAACATGTTCCAGAATTGCCACATGAGAGCTCATGAACCATGTGTTACAAAAGCTTCGATGCTGGCGTCTTATATGGATTTTTACCATTTCAATTTTATATGCAAGGCGTGTAAGAATAGCATTTATCAATCTGCTGTAAAACTAATTAGTTGCTTGTTGATTTTGTGGATGGCCTCAATACGTCTAAACAAACCATTCAAAATTCATGAATTATTGTTGAGATTCGATAATATCGCATACTTTCCAAACTGGATTTGGAATGACGAAGTAAGGCAGGCTAATAATCTCAAGAGCTGTCGAGCTAGTGGGTTTTCCATGTGGAGATGTCCTGAAAATTTAATGTTGCTATTTGTCATTTGGTGGAGATTTTCTAATATGGAATGATCATCTTGCTTTTGTTGAGTGTGGATAAGCGGGCATTGGAACATTGTATTTAAACAGGAAGGACTTACCTTTAACATTTTTTACTCTTCCCAGGATACTCAGCGCGTATTCAAAGGTGCCCTCAAAACCAAAGCCTTCAACCAAAAGGTAATGATGAGTCAGGCTTTTGAAGCAAAATGAATGTTAGATGAACGTCTGTGCCTATAATTTATTGTCTACACCGATACATAGTTATTCTAAGGGAAACGGAGTTTATATTTTGTTGCAAAAACTGCAGGCGCCTCATGCAAAACATTTTGGAAGTTGAAGTAAGTTCAGGCTGCCTGAGAAATATGCTTGTATTACTAATGAGAATCACAGATTAGACTGACCAACTCTAAAGCTAGGAAAAAGTTGTGATGATAAACTGTCAAGAGGTCTTTCCTTACAAGTTCTCTTTAGATGTCATGTATCTATTTCCTTGTGAAGTCTTGAATTGGCCGTTGGGACAAGATAAAAGTTGACATTAATTTGTCTCCGATATGATATCTAGTGTTTTTATTGTTCTTCTTTTCTTTTTTTTTTTCAATTGTGGACACGCGGATCAGTGAATTTGAGGAACTTGAAGGAGTTTCGAGCATGTCTGTCATGGAAACGCTACTAGAGCCGTCCCCAACTGCTCCTGCGATTGATTCTCCTGAAGATTCAACAGCATTTATGAACTTCTTCAATGTACGGTTCTTAATTTATGATTTCAGTATAGATTCTACTCGAGCACGTAAACACGTCACGGATGCAGATGCATGTTGTCTTGCATTTTAAACAAAGAAATTTTTTTTGTCTCTTGTAATCCTCTCTCCTTCAAACCTGCAAATTTGTGTTTATATACCCATAGGTTGTTGAGCTTGAGCCTTTGAGAACTGCCTATAATCAGTTAAATATGTTGAGTTTTCTCTCCTCGTAGTCCTACTCATTCATAATTTAACATCGATTATATTGTATTGAAAGTTTGAGCATGGTGCTTTCGTCAGTTTGAGACCGATTTATAGGTTGGCTAAAACCTTTTTGGTGGCTGTCTGGTTTGGCTTTTGGAGTATGACTCTTGGCTTTTTCTTGGTACCATTAAATGTTAGATGGGTGACTGCTTTAATACGAAATGCCCAAAATCTTTAAAAAAAACATAGATAATTCAAAATCATCTCAAATTGACTTTTGTACCCAAAAAAAGTCATCCGTGCTAATTCATAAATTTTTTTATACAATAGTAGAATATTTTCGTTCGTTTTGACAGGAACTTCAAATTTTTTTAATAAAAGGGCTTAAGCCCATTCGATCATTTTTTTTACGATTCGGACAAGGCTCTTTTCTTCAATAACGAACATGAAGAAAATTTTGGTGAAACGTTATGATTGCTTCCCTCTGGGTAGTTGTAATTATCTTATCGGACTGCAAATGCTGCATGAATGCCATCTCTCTTTCACTTTTACAGAATGTTGGTGTCAGTTTTTACTACTATACCATTCTATCTTTCGGCGGACTGATATGTTTCTTCCTTATCCTGATTTAGATGGCTATGAATATTGGAAAGCATGCTGACCCAGCGAAGTCTATGCAGCACAATCATTCTGCTGCAACTGTGCCTTTATCTCCCCTTGTACCCTCTGTTGCTTCATCTCCTGCACCAAATCCTGACATGCTAAATCTCTCTCTTTCATCTTCCTATTATCCGATACCTCGGAATGATTCCTCTGATCTTACCAGTAGCAGCGACCGAATTAGCCGTCTAATCAAGCCTTCTTCCTTTTTACCACCCCCGTCTTCCTCATCTGCACTGTTGATGCCTCCAATCGCTTCTTCAAATCCTACCGCTGCTTCCCTTCGTCCTCCCCTGAATTTGCAACACCCACATGGAACTCCACTGCTTAATCCATTTCCTCCTCCCACTCCATCAGCATCTCTGACTCCTATTCCTACTCCTCTGGCTGACAGACCCTTAATCAACAGAGAGAGAGTTCGTGATGCACTTATTATGCTTGTTCAGGTTAGTCTATACTTACTTGGTCTTTTTGCAGTGTTGTACTTTCTTGGTGTTTGATCTCGATATATGCTTGTTCAGGTACTTCCTTTTTTCCCCCTGGTCTTTAAGCAATCTTTACTTCCTTGGCAGCTGTTCTCTATAGCTCACATTCACCTGTAAAACTATAGCGCCTTTTCTGGGGTCATGCCAACCCTTTGAAAAGTCAATGTAAAATTGAGAAAAATAGGTAGTGCAGCTTGTTGGTGACAACTGCCAACACAGAATGTTGCTGGAGACATAAATTGACCTCTCTTCTTCGGTGTTGTGATTACTTTATTGGATCAGATTCTATAGATGACATTCCTCAGGGTAGTTTTTGCACAAGCAATTGCCCATTCCTGGTATGATATCATCATACACTGTTATACGTGCCTTCGACAGCCTCATCTTTCTGCATCGTTGAATAAGTCTGAAATTGTGTAGCTACTTAAATTGCTAAGCCCATCCGCATGTCTGAAGCAAAGATTGAAAAATGTGGTATCGTAGTTATGTTCCTTTTTCCACGTCTACATCACTAGAAAGTGTTCGAGCTATTTCGTGTCTGTGCCCCAGTTAAAAACTTGTTGATTTGTTTCTATTCCAGGATGATCAGTTTGTTGACATGTTCTACCAGACATTGCTCAAGGTACACTTCAAGTGAGTAATCAAAAAAGGGCTGATTTTCCTCTCAGATTGATGGAATTGGAGCGCATTTGTGCATAGCTCTCTTTTGTGTCGTCTATGAAAACAATTTCTGGCAGACTATTGTCAACATGTAAATGCTCTTGCTTTCCTTCAATCTGACCCGTCAACCAGTCAGAGAGGGTTCCGCGTTCATCTTTTGTTCTCTATAGACAATGTAGGATCAGAACGAGAGGTGGAAAATGTTCTGCAATGAGATGTTCTAATGGCTTTTGTAAATGCCTAGTTTGTCCTTCTGCCTGCTTACTGTTTTCTTATTGCCACACTCGCCGTCGTACAGTTTCAGACTCAACACTTTGCAGCGACGTCCGCGGCAGCCCCTATCTTCTAGAGACTTTTCGTATAGAGTGCGATCTATGGTACGACCGTCCTTTGACAAAACAGTGTATGTCCTCAATCAACATCCTCTGGAAGATGATCATGGCTTGCGGATGAAGTCGTCCTCTATACTAAATTGTCACCGTCTGCACTTGCAATTTTAGCAAGCCCGTCGTCACCTTCAACATTCACTAAAAGCGCCACTTTAATCTCGATCGATGAAAATACCGTGGAATCAATCATCATCATCCTCTTTCTTTTCTCTATATTTTCTGTATCTCAACTTCCATCCAAATATACAGGGAAACAATTTCATAAATAAGGGAAAAAAAAAAAAGAGAGAGAAATTGAAAGAACTGTTGGAGAGGGTGGTCAACGAACGACTCAAATCGGCCATCATCCTCGGCATCTTCTTCATCTGCACAGGACGAGCAGCCAGAAGAGAGCGAACGCCAAGACCCCGAAGCCCACGAACAAGAAGTCCAGCGTCCCCTCCGTCCGCAGCTTCCTCTCCTTCCTCTCCCTCTTCCTCCTCTCGAACTCCTCGTACCTCCTCCTCCGCTCCCCCTCCTCCCTCTCCCTCCTCCCCCTCCGCCGCCCGCCGAACGCCCTCCCCAGGACCTCCAGGCTGTCCCTCCCGCTCAGGTGCATCCCGTCCCCGTCCTCCACCTGCAGGCCCACCTCCCTCACCTGCATCCCCCCTCCCCCATCCTTCCCCTCCTCCTCCTCCGACGCCGCCGCCGCCCCCGCCCAGCCCCCGCAAGTCACCACCACCCCGCACTGCACCGCCTCCGTCGCCGTCCCCCGCTCCCCCCCGGCGGCCGCCTCCACCACCGTCGCGAACCTCGCGTGCAGCTCCCCCGTCAGCCAGTGCCGCTGCACCGACACCGGCGCCTGGCTCGACAGGTCCATCGCCCGCCGCCCCGCCGGGTCGATCAGGACCCAGCTCAGCCGGAGCCCCTCCCCGAGCTCGCGCCCCGCCTGCTCGGCGTCCGGGAAGCGTATCGCCGTCCGGACCGCGTCCTTCGGGTCCAGGACGTCGATCCGGAACGGGGAGCACTGGAACCACCCGGAGTCGGCGTCGGTCTCCACGGCCCTGCTGAAGATGAGGTCGCCGCGGTAGCGGATGTCGACGGCGGAGATCAGCCGCGACGGGCCCGGGCCCGGAGCGACGGGCGGGGACGCCGCGGCGGCGGCGAGGAGGGAGTAGGAGTCGGAGAAGAAGGAGCGGGGGCCGTCGGGGAAGGTGGAGATGACCCGGGAGACGAGCGGCGAGCTTGTGGAGGGCCAGGTGGAGCGGCACATGTTGGCCCAGAGGTCCCGCTCCGAGGAGAGGGAGCGGAGCTGGGAGGAGGCGCAGGCGGCGGAGGCGAGGGCGGGGCCGTCGAGCCGCGTCAAGACGTGGGCTCTGAGGACGTCCTCGTGGATGGCGGCGATCGTCGTCGCCGCGGCGGCGGAGGAGGCCGGCGGCGCTGCGGCGGAGGAAGCCTCGGTGTTCATGTCTCTGGTCGGTCGCGTGATTATCAGAATCCCCGTGGAGGCGGGCGTCGTGGGTGGAGAGCCGAGAATTTATATAGCATTCAGGAGAAAATTCGAACCGTCATCCCGATCCCCAAAAAGCCCTCCCCTCCTGCCGCGAATTGACGACTCTGCCCCGCCGGCCCGACGCTCTGCCAGCAGCGCTAACGGACCGGAGGGGGCGCGAGCGGGGTATTTTCGGGATTTCACGGAGACGGCGCTCGCGAGCTCCGCTGTAGCTCTGTAGGGGGAGCGTTGGATAAAATCTCTGGGGAGCGGTCGTCGAAGGGGGGCTTTTTGGGGAGGTGGAGAAGTCAACGAGAGACAGGTAAAACGAAGGGGATGACGTCACTCCACAATGGGTTATTAAAAATTGCAATTTGCGTGGACCCCAGCATCTATAAATTTAGGTTTGGTGGGGGCTCTACAATAGTACTGGAGTAGCGTTCATCGTAATAATTGGACTTATACATCATAAAATATGGAAAGCACCCCCTCCTTTAAAACTATTCTGTCGCGGGGCTGTGGTTGCGATGATCAGATCAGGTGATGGGGCAATGCCAACGTCCCGGATTGCGACTCCGACCTAGCTTTTCGCCGACACCGACAACGACGACGCAGGGAGAAAACCCCACCACGGTACGGTGGCTCTTGTGGGGGGGGGGGGGGGGGGCGGGGGCGGGGCTGCAACGGATTCAAACGATGCGAAGGCATTTAGTTTGTCTAAGCATTAGTTTACCTTTTCAATGACCCGGGATGAACGCGAAAATAATTGTACATTTTAGTACGGATTCGACAATTGACGATAAGGAAATTGAGCTGAGGGTGATGTTTGGTTTGCTTTTTAGCCAATTTATGGAGCCGTTTTTACCATGTTTGGACATTGGGTACAGGTCCGAGTCAAAATTAGGCGGGGCTGCTCTAATTAGGCAGGGGTTGCCTTAATCAAAGTATCGATTGTTCAGCCTTTTGCGGGGATGGTCGGGCCAAATTGAGGGGGTGGTGGGTTTCGAGTAGCGGGTCATTTTCGGCAGGCAGGCGTGGCTTTCGGACCGACGACAGTCTCCTGTTTGATAGAGAGTGGATGTTTGTGCACAGCAATTTCCGTGCCTCGTCTTCGATTTGTTTCTACTGCGTCACGTCCCTTTCGTGGGGGTAAGCTGGCGGTGCTTGTTGGCAAAGCAAGCAGCTCCAATTCGAAACCAGACTCCTAAAACCATCACTTCTGTGCGAGGTCAAACTACTAGAAGAAGCAGAGAGAGATAGAGAGAGAGAGAGAGAGAGAGAGAGAGGGGTGAATTGAATGATGGTTTTTGTCTTGAACGGCCCGAGCAGCTTTGTGGGAAATGGGCGATGCAGAGACAAACGAATGGATCCAAAAGCTCTTTCGTGAAGAAAGTTCGGACCGTATACGGTGCCGACCATAATGGATTTTGCCTGGGACCAGAGTAATGAGTTTTCAATAGGGGGTTAGTGCCCTTCCTCTGTCGGATCCAAAAGGTTTCAAAGGCTGCGACCGCGTGCCTCATCGGTTGGAGCTCATGATAAGAGTTATTCACCGCCGGCTGCCGACTCCTCCTCACGCTGTCACGCATTGTCCACCTTGTTGATCCAGCCAAAGTTGCTGCCTGGCAGCCATCTCTCTCTCTCTCTCTCCTGACAGTTGATTTATGTCGGGGAGCGATTTATTGTTAAATGTGTGGCAGGACCCGTCTTTTTTATACGATCCATATTTTATATGGACGGTTGACATTTTTAGGAATCGACTAACCATTGGATTCGATGATCGATAGATCCGACTTGTGCGCATCAAACACAATTGTACATTGTATGTGTACCGTATGAACCATCTTCTTGTAATGTGTATATATGGTAGATATTAAAATTATGGAGCAGTCAAAAGAACTATAGTTAAGAGACAGGGTGAGGGCTTTTGATGGTTTGAGGGGGTGTGGCCTTGATTGTCCTGGCGGTTCAGGTGACGAGGACGCGTGCATGTTTGATAAGGACGCAAGTGACGCGGCGGTCTTGACTCGAAGATTATCGACGTCGGGCTTTGATACTATAGTAATTTTCTTTGGGATAAGGACGTCCGTCGATCGATCGTCATGATCCGATCCTCCTGTGCATTTGTTTATTCAATCGCCTGACCTGTAAGAGAATTAAAATATTTGTGGCGGAACCCATTTGTTGGGGCTCTTTTGCTGGCGGAGGTGCAAATCAACTCTGCCGCAACGTGCCGCCAATGTTGCCCGATGATGCCGCGAGTATTCGGACTTTCCCTCGATTTTACCCTAAACCTTTTGTGTTTGTGTGTACTCGAGCTTTCGGATTATGGCTCGTTGTTGTCCTTCCGACGCGTATCGAACTGCTTCTACTTGGAAAACATTCGGTCAAGTATGCACCATTTCTGCGTTAACGCTGGACGATGAACTTTCCCTGTGCGGGCCCTTCAATACCTCTATTTGAGGTTGGCTGCCGCAAGTCAACATACGGCATGGAGCCGAACCTCAGTTTTCCAGGCCTTTCATATTCTTCACTCGGCTCGTCTTTTTCCATCAACCTTCTCTTTTGCACCACTTGCCATGCCAAACTCTTGGGCCGGTTTTGGTTTCAATTCCTCTCTTGCCCCATTAGGGCAATGCCCCTAGTCTCCTTTATGCCAAATCCTAGGCGCTGAATATTGAGAAAATTGTCCAAAAAGTCTTAAACCTATTGCACTTTTGCCAATTCAGTATAAACCTTTTAAGTTCGCCAATTCAGTCCTAAACCTTTTCACTTCTTGCCAATTGAGTCCATCCGGCCAATTTTGGCCGGTCGGCACTGACGCGACCGCCGGTCGTCCGGCCAACGCTGACATGGCAAATTTTAAATAAATTTTTTCGAATGTTTTAATATTTTTTTCTGACTTCTTCCCTCTGGCCGGTCAGATCGAAAAAAATATTAAAAGTTTTGAAAAAAAATATTTAAAAATTGTCACGTATTGTGGGCCGGACAACCAGCGTCGGCTGGCCAAAATTGGCCGGATGGACTCAATTGGCAAGAAATGAGAAGGTTTAGGACTGAATTGGTAAACTTAAAAGGTTTATGACTGAATTGGCAAAAGTGCAATAGGTTTATAACTTTTTGAACAATTTTCCCCCTGCATCTTCATCTTTGTAGCCCGCGTCCTCTAAATCCTTCCCTTCTGGCCCTCTGGGTCCTATTCGAACCGGGCCCGTGTTCGAAAGGATCTCGGAACCGTTCTCCTGTAGGGGGGGTAGGTGGCGCCTTTACCATGCTCTATAAAGCTCAAGATTTCTATTTACGACCGGAAGTCTTCATGTTCCTATCATCGCGACTGACGGTCCGTTCCGTCATGATATTGGCAACGAGTGTTGCGGCCTTGAGAAGACACTTTGGGATGGAGACGGTGTGCTAGCTTATGTTAGGGCGATACCAATCTCTCCAACTCTCCAATCCGGTTGTTGGAGAGATTGGTACTCCAATGCCAATCTCCCCAATTTGAACCATGCCAACACTCGTTGGGAATGGGTTTTCCTTCCACACTCATAGTTTCTTTCCCTTTTTCAGTATACTTCAATCGTCCACTTTTGTTTGGCCCCCTGTATTACTTTCACGAAGACGATACAATTACCGGTCTCGTGGCTCCAAGAATGGTGCCATTTCGAACACTTTTTCGCCCCTCATTTCCTCAACCGTTGTGACTTTATGTCCTTCTGAAAAGAGCATAAATTACGATCACGGAAGATTCGGAGCTATAACCCGATAGTACAAATCAAAACAAATTCACTAGAGTGAGAGTTTGGTAAAATGAAATGAAAGAAGTGAGAACTCGAATGAAATAAGCTAAATATTGCGATTAGGTTAAGTGTGTGGGTCTAAGACTGACATTACCCAATGGTCGTGGTCCGACCTTTATAAATTTAGGCATATTCGTACCCGTCTCCGCCTTTTCTAGATTGGCATGGTGAAAGTTTGGTGTTGGAACCACTCGGATGCCGTCCCTACGGCATCGTACCAGTCTATGTTCTTACCTACGATCTATATTTTGGTGCCAACAAAAGCCGACCTAGATTTAGAACCTGGACCCTAGCCTCTTCATTATCGCAAGCTCGGGAGGACCCAATTCTAAACCGGTGTCAATTCGTACATTGGCTCAATCAAACTTCAATTTCAGCCCCACTTCAGTTTGCCGTCAAATGATGCATAAATTTGATTAACATGAACACATGGCTAACCCTTCTTGACTACGGACGAAAAAATCTGAAAATTATGACGTCAGGTACTTTGTTTTGGTACTTGTTAACATGGCAGTTGCGTATTCGATACATTTAACCTCGACCAGCATAATTTATCCAATGTACGAATTAAACTACGTATTGCCAAAAAGTAATCACGAGCAGACAAGAGATACATCAAAGTCTACGTATGCTATTTCGATAAAAAAAAAAAAGATCATATCTGTTAAGGCCTTTCGTTCTAGTAATCACGTTTCAATTGTTTTACAACAATCGTTAATGTATCTGGTCACAATTTTTTTTTTTTGGTATGAAAAATGGCTATAGCCGAATACAAAAATTTAACATCGTAAATTTACTATCCCTATTTTATCACCTAATAAAACATGAAGTAACTCTATAAGAGGTAATGAAAAGAAATTATAATCCAATCGCTTATCAATTCCAACATTAGCAAGTTAGTCAATAGAGCGATTTCCTATCTGGAAAAGTTATGTGTTACTTTAAATTCAAAGTGAGAGCACCTCAGTCTTATGATATCTTTAAGTTAAACATGGTCAACGTTATCAATCATAAACTCTAGACTAACAAGATCAATAATGGCTTTAGCGCCAATAAATAACCATAAGCTCTGGTCACAAATTTTGAATAATCACATATGTATATATATCCATGATCGTGCAATAGTAATAACGATAGATGATCGAACGAAAAATTTCTGTGGGTAATTGGGTGAATCTA